AGTACTGCAATATCTTTGCTGTGTTGCCAAATAGCAAAGCAATCTTCAATTTAATGAACTAATAAGTTCAGAACTAGGAATGCCTCTTGAAGCACACGAACTCCTAATTGAATAATGCAGTCATACGCTGAAATAATACTAAACAAGATCGCATAGATAAGCCCCGTGTTTTGGTTCGACTTTGTTTTCGCAACTTGGTCGGAGCTTCAGGGAGACCTTGTGGAACGTACCTAGTCCCGTGTCCACTGCCATAGTATTCGTGATTTCCAGCATTGGACTATTGACTTGGTTTATGCCCATACGGCATCGTAGTCCGACCAAGTCACTTTTATAGGTCGAAACTCTGTGCTTACGATGGCGCTTTTCACTAAAGATACCGGCGAAACGTTTGGGAATGTATCCAGCCAATGGTCCATTGCTGAAAATCAGTAATACTATGGCAGAGGTCATGGTACTAGGTACATTCCACAAAGTCTCCCTGACACGCGGGTTTCCTTATTAATTTCTTCTCTAGCCATACATATAGAGTCAAAATAGGAGCTATGCAGTCTATGATAATAAGGAGTCTGTGTCTAGTAGACGTAAACCACATATACCAAGGGATCGGTAAATTGAAGCATATACTGTTTCAAAACAATAACCCGTTTAGATTAATAGACAACTACATATCAATTGTTGGTAACAAGATGAAGAGAGTTTGCTATATGGGGCGGAATATACAATTGGATCCTTTTGCTCGTTTCCTGATTATGCTTTCCTGTCACCTTGCGAAAATGTTCGGTGATCTTCTAAGGAAGTGGAGCATAAAAAGAATGTGTAAAGAGAAATTAAAACTTTCTTCATTAGTTTCTTCGTTTAGATAATTTTTGAAACTCTCTTTCTAGATCAGGCTGCAAGAGTGCAGGAAGAGCAACTGGACAAGAGAAGACTGGATAAGCCTAGAGTCTAGCTATGGCTATCATACTTCCCATGACATGAACTTTACATGGATATAATAGGCAAAAGCACAAACCCCAACATGATTCAGCATTAGATGATGGTACACTAGTTTATTTGTGTTGGTAAACAGTTGCCACTGAACGCACCTCTGCTTCGGGAAGTAACTTCACCCATTTGCAAGTATGTAGAGTAAGATTGGAGTAGATCATTGGATGCCTCGTCAAGATCGCAAAGTTTGGTGTATAAAAAGCGCATAGGGTTGCAGCCAGCCACCTTTTCTCTTGGTTTAGTATATTTTTGCTCTATTTCGTGAAGTATGGCTACCTGCTGTGATGATGTCTGTCTCAGTACAGACGAAAGCTTAGCACTGTTTCATCGCAGGACTGTGAGCTGAGGACTTCTTCGCACAATTCAACAGTCTTCCCAACGCGACAATCCTCCTTCAGTTGCCGATGAGACCATATCCCGAATTCCTTTCAGCAAACTTATTCTTCGAAATGAAATTACATGTCACAAACTATAACTAAGCGATTCTTCGACACCCATTTTTCCTTCATAGTTTTAAGATTATACACTTCACTGCCAGAGTTTGAGTCCCGCTAGGGGTGCTAATGTGACCTAGGCGAGAATAAAACTTCCGTCCAGTCCAATTTGGATGGCAATACCTTATGGAAAGCAAGACTATGGTAAATTAAATGTAAACGTACTACTTACTCAGATGATTGTGGGAAAATTCAACTAACAGTCCTTCATCACCTTAAATGAAAATCTTTATACATTGTTATAATGTAATTAAAGGACTTAAAGTTGAGTTTTTCAACACTTTGATGGGTACGCTTGCCAATGCCATGCTGATTAGACTTAGGCAGATCTAAACTGCAGTCCACCCCTGATAAGACACGTTTTGGGAGGCCAGTGCATCGTGTGGCCTGCTCATCTCATCATTGGAAAAACCCAACTATCAGTCGTTAAATCACCTCAAGTGACGTAGAATGACTAAGTTAAATCAAAGAATAAACGTCTTCTGTTTAAAATAAACGGCAAACACATGTTTGCTTAACCCACAATCCAATTATAAAAATGTGAGTCGGGATAGGTATGGCTTGTCTTAAAATGACGAATTTGCTCTATGGCTCATTGGCATTCGTTGCCATGTAGTAGTGGCATACGACGATAGGATACTTAGGAGCAATTATCGAATTGCTTTGGAGCTGCTGATGAGACTTAGACGAGGTCGAAACTACGATCCACCCTGGATGAGATAGGCTTTGGGAGGCAAGACTAAGTAAAAATCAATGGCATTATGAGGCTTACTCATACCATTGTAGGAAAGACTCATCTATCAATGCTTAAATAACCCTAAGAAGCCTAGGGTGACAAATAACTTATTTAAGCATTACTAATATTCAAAAAGATTAAAACTAGAACAATGGTGGCATGATGAAAGCCGAGCACAAGTTTTGGGTTCGAAACCTTCACCATAAGAGTGGAAGAAAGAATTGACTTTCGGAAGAATAAAACAAGGCCTCACTTTGATTTATACATTGTTATCATCTAGCATTATACTGATTAGGCCGAAAATCGTGTAGTTAAGCCACGTGTCCAACGGAATGGCCTATCTCTATGAATATTTAAAGAGACGGAGTTGTAGCCAGATAAGGCAACATAAAAAACTAATGTAAAAAATACTGTCATAGATAGAAAAAAACGAAATAATAATATAGCGACAAACTCTCTTATTGGAATATAGATAGACAAGTGCGGTAAAATACTCTAACAAAAAATAAGATGAAAAAGCGCTGCCAAAATAGACGCAATACTCGCTAAATCCAAAGAAAAAGTATTTTTGCTCTCGTTTACATAGGGCATTTCCAACATCTCTTAAAAATAGTCTATTATTGAGCAATTTACCATAGATTATATCTATGAAAGCTCATTCGGAACTGCGCGTCTGCATTTTCACAATGTTTCATAAGAGAATTAAAAAGAACGCTTCCTGTCAGTAACAGTGAATAAAGCGCATGTGAAAAATAAGGGAGCAGATTAAACTTATTATTGATATTAAGCTAAAGAATTTCTATTTTAATAAGTACTTCTGTAAACTCTAGGAAAATTTGCCAAACACAAAGCAAGGTACGCCTGACTTGGGGTGCGAGTCAAAGTATAAAACTCCTCGATGGGTCTAACGAAGTTCAAACTTAGGTTTTCGATATATTACTTCAGGTATTTCCAATTTATTCCCGATTAATGCTTATTACGAAAAGTATCAGTATACACCAGAACACTTGTTATTCCACAACTAGCATTAAATTTATCAACGAATATGGCCTGTTTCAGAATAAATGCAATTACGGTAGTACAAAAAGTCTTCTTATGACCTATTTTGACCTAAAGATGTGGGGAAATTACAACAACAAAAATTAGTTTTTTGCTAAATAAATGATATATGCATATGTATAATTCAATTTTAAATAAAAATAAAAAAGGTCACTAATCTAAAAAATGCATTTAAATGATCTAAAAAGTAAACCAACAAATATGGATTCTAAGGCATACATATATTAAGAGTTATCCCTAAAGTACAGAAATTATTCATTAAATTGATTATATAAATATTTTAGATTGCATAAGCGCTGCAAAAACAGACAAGTTTGATGGTAAAATCTACCGTTCTCAGTTGATTTCTTTTGATTTTTTTCATTGCGAACGAAGCCGTCTGCCCACCGCGAACCTGTGTAACAGGCAGCCGCTTTCGTTGAATGCTTTTGATAGGGACAGGAACAAAGTGACCCTGAGAGTCTGGCCCCAAAAGAAGGTTGTCATTCAGAGAGATTCTTCCACTCAAGCAAGTACCTGAGACTACAGTTCCGACACCTGGAACCGAAAAAATCTCGTCAATCTGAAATTCAGCAGGATCATTGAGACGCGGATCGAGACGAGGTGACAAAAGATTTAGAAATATCTTTAGGAGATCGAGATTTTCGCCGGTTACACTCGATACGGTGAATATAGGGCATATTCGTTCTGAGATGAAATTTGTGGCCGACATAATGACATCGTCACTATGAAGAGAATTATAAGAATTACCATCAATATTATAAGCAACTTGATAAAAAATAAACCCGAAATATAAAACGTAAAGATATGAAGAACAAGATGGTGTGGCCAAGTTTTCGCAACTTGGTCATATTGATAAGAAGACGCAGAGAAATGCAGCTATTCTGGAGTCCATTGCATGCATGATAATTTCCAAAGTTGGACTGTGGATGTAGTACATTCCCAGATATTTCGCCA